TATGATCCGACCGGTTGCACCGATACCTATTTGTGGCTTATGAAAATCCTTAAGCCCCGTAAATCAGCCGTTATGGAACCAGATGTAAATTACGATTATTGCCGGCTTTACGAGCCACGACAGCGCCTTCGTAATCCGACTGTCACACCATAAAAGCGAAAGTAGAGAATTGCAATAAGTAGAAACTTTACGATCAACCGATCGCTGTGGCGTTTACCTGGGCGTAGGACTCAAGGACGGCTTCGCGATGGAAAGTGTGGAAGGAAAGCAGACAGGAAGGAAGGAAGGAAGGAAGGACGGCAAGAACTATAATTTAGTTATCCCCGGCCATTGTACGGGCCTACCATGAACAAATAAAGTCGGTAGGATTATTTTACTGCCGGTACATCATTCCCAATTTATTCATTAATACTAGGACAGTCAAACGTTCATTGCCTCCTAAACGGTATCCTCGAGTTTACCCGAGCATGTCAAAGTATTTGACCTTGTCTAAATTACTTAGGAAGCATGATTTATGGCTTCGGTTTGAAGAACTGACAATAAAGTGATTTGTACGTAACTAGACGTAACGCTTTAAAATTTAAATGGTTGAATGGCTTCAGCATTGTGGATTCCGAAAACAGGCTCGATGTCCGTCAGGCTTCGGAATAATTAACGACTCGGCGTAATTATTACTTATTGTAATTCTTGCATTATGCAAACACCGAGTGCAGATGCAAATGATTAATTAGCTAGACCATTAGAACTACGAGGAATGCGTACGGAGCCGAGCGTCGACACGATAGTGAATTAAATTGTTACGGTCCAATTAAAAATGTAGCATGACGGTCGGTGCATACGTTTCACCGATCCATCCCGTCTGCTTTACTAATTTTAATGCGCTAGTGCCCGACAAATCAAATAGAATTCGAGATGGTCGCATAATTTCGGCAGTGTCTAGCTTTTATGGTAATACACGATAGTCCGCGTTATACCGACCCAAATACCACATTAACGAATTCTTAGAACGGTGTTCCGCGATATTCTCGCGATAAATTTTTCACGTCCAATAAAATCGACGCTCGCGACGAGTTCCGTCCTCGAGACGCAGGGATAAGCAGCCATAACGTGAACGCAGGAGGGAGGAGGAATTTAATCGTTGGCTAGTAGCGGCTAAGGGCTCAACGGCGAATGAACTTTCATTAAAAAATCTAATTTTCAAGAAGAGGGACTACGTTTAATCTGGGGGATAGAATTAAATTTCCCGTGCTTCCTTTTCTGCTCACGGAAGCATGAAACTCGGGGCTGGCATCGAGAGATGCCTAAACGGAGATGGCGGGTGACATCTCACTGGAAAATACGCGAGCACGTGGATCACGTCAGCTGAACAATGGGATGAACAATTTCTTTATTCGGTTTCGTTGATATTTCATTCGGTAATATTTCCCCTGCTCACTATTTTAGTTGAAATGTCGTCTCGCCGAAACGTAGAATGGGCTTGATACAGAAAATCTTCCCTTTCAAGTTTACACTTGCAGAAGGATTCGGCTCAATGTAAACGGATCTACATATTCAGCCAGTTAATTGCCTGGCTCGTGTGATGCGGGTATCATGGTGAAGATTAGCGAAACCTCACAGAGCATGAGAACTAAACCAAGCGATTCGCGCATCAAGTTTATGCGCCTGCCGTGTGCTACATTCCAAATGAGGAGATCGCCGGAGCGGTCGGAACGCCGGGTTAAATTTAAACTACTTTCTGATATCGGATTTGATACGTGACGCGGGTAACAAAATTGTTTGCCTTGTAACGTTACGAAGTGAAATGATACAACGGTTCATGGCGGATGGAAATTAATTATTCTCGTGAAATGAACAATTCGCGTGACGGAGACGATTATTATTTCTTCGTATTTCGCTGAGTTTTTGACTACCGTGCACTTTAAGTTTTAGAACTTTTTAAATGATTACCGTGTAATTAACATTTTTGATATTATAATGTATTCGTACATTAACGAGTTTATTTCGTTTTGTGTAGGTTTTCCGCTTTCTCTAGTCAAATTTTTTGAATATATTCTGTGCACGTAAATGAAGTAGGATGTAATACGAATGCAAATTATTCGAGGATTCAAATTCTATCCCATCATTTTTTAAATATTAAAGTGCTTCTTCATATTATCACATTAAATTAGTTTTATTTGCAGGGTGTTTCAATTATTTGTGTAATTATTATGTGCACTTTTACTTGCTGGGTCCAACGTCGCGTATATTAATATTACAATTAATATGTTAAGTATTGTGATAGGTCATTTCTATACATTTTTTAAGTAAACTTGAAATATCCTCGGTCCATTAAAGGTTAAATGTATCATCTGTGTGATATTTCTTATCAATCCCAAGTATCTGTTTACGATTTATCATCACTTTGAGTATGAAAAATTATTTGGACATGGAACCTGAATTAATTAAAATGTTCCCATTACTCCAAGTTAATTTACATGAATGCATTGAAAATCTGATGGCAGCCGGCTGTTCCGCTAAATTTACTCGAGGACGGATTTCATTCAACGGTCGGGAAGAATTCTCAGAACCTTTCCCACAAATTCGCGCTTCGCCTTGCCGCGGAAATTTAATCTTCGGACAGCGGAGTCGGGAATACCGTCGCCTTTCGTATTCAACCGCGATTCTTAAATATACATATACACCCCTACCCACGCACGGCCAAAACATTTTACGGTACATGACCTGCTTCTCCACACGCGAAACCGAAATTTCGCAATTTGCGCTGGTTGTCCGCGTTCACGGGCCGTTTCAGCTTTGATCAACGCGTGTTTGATGAAACGCAAACTTTTATACGCTCCGTGTTCGCTCCGCCGGAACTTAGAGACGCGAAACGGGCGAGGACGGACACGTTTGTATTACACGTATCGCGATATTCATTTTAATTAAACATTTTATCAAATTATCTTTAATTAACGTGCGCCCCGGAATAGGGAAAAAGTGTCGACGGTGAAAAAAGGAAAATAAGGGCTCGAAGCGCAGACTCGCGCAAATTGTAACGCGACTCTGATATACGTTAATTGCTTTCGGAACTGCTCCGACCAATGCACGAGGGACGAACGAGTCGCGCCCCTTCTAAGCGTCAAAGTGCATCGCCCGTAGTTGCAAATATTTTTATACTCTCATCGGACGTTCGCTGGTTTTTTAAATTTCAGTTTGGAAAACATGGATGTTGTTAATCCTTTTTCAATCGAAATGCTGTATATTTTCAATGCTTAAAGTTTAGAGTAAATGTAGATTTATAATAGAAGTGGTAATCGTTTTCCTCGTCAATGAACCGTTGAAAAGAAAATAATTCTGTTGACTATGATTACCAAAGAAACGTGACGGAAAGATAAATCGAACGTAGAGGGTGATAAAGAAGGGATTTATAAGTTTCAGGAGCAGATAATAACCTCTAAATGAATAAAGGAACACCCAATTGACCCGTGTCAAAAAATTAATGACCTCAAAAATATAAATTCCTCGGCCTAAAGCTAGAGAAGTCTCCTCTCAAATTTCCAAACTCCTTTTTCCTATCATTCGGTATGATTTCCCCGTTATCTGTCACGGTGTCTTAGAAAACGGCTCGTAACACTTTGTTTGACCCAGCCGATCTCTCGCATTATACAAGCCCGGGCTGTTGCTGGGTCTCCTCCAATATTTCTACCCCGAGAGCATTCGGCTACGTAAGCCGTCTTATCCTTAAAAGGGCCGTCGTCCTGCCCCCAAACACGAAGGGTCAGAACACTTTGGCGCACTTGTTCGCCCGGAATCCATCCTCCACGGAGTATGATAAAAAGATTCCCTTGCTCCGCTGACTTCCAAACCCCGCCCCCAATCTCCTCTTTTTTTCTTACCCATGATCCTAGAAGAATGGTCGTGCTCGAAATGGCGAGCATGTGCGGCCAGGATCACTTGGTCGTTCGAAAAGCGGCGACAGGCGGAATCGAGTCGACCGAGCTCTCTCGCAAGGGTTGTAACCGAGCGCCGAAAATATTTTCCTGAAAGAACCGACCGGACCGACTGGGAACGAGGATCCAGGAAGTCCTTGGGAAAGGGTGCACCTCGGTCGCGCGGCCGTTCCTCGGGGGGAAAAGTGAGAACGCGCGTCGCGCGAGGGGGTGGGGAAAGAAAGATGACGAGTGGAAGAGAGAAAGCTGCGGGGAAGCGGGAAAGAACGACAGAGCGGGGAAATAAGAAAAAGCTGGGAAGTGGGATGGAGAGAAGTATTCGGGGAAAGGGTACGAGAGAGTGTGGTATATACCGAAGAAAAGGGTGGTCGTTCGGTCGTACGTGAAGGGTCGGCGTTAGGCAGTTGGAACCTGGAATAGCGAGGAAAAGGATAGATGGATAGGATGCAAGCGGGAGAGAGACAGTCGAAGAGGGAAAAAGAAATGAAGCGTGGTAGGGTGAGAGTAAGGGCAAAAGGATGAC